AGCTGTGATGCCATGGCACTCTACCCAGGGGGATAGCTTGAGGCTCCGTCTTAAAAAAAAAAGAAGAAGGTGTTGTCCTATAGGTAAAGCCTAGAAAGGGGGTTGGCTGATGCTTAAGGTTTGCTCCCTGTTTCAGTGACAGAAAGCTGAAAGACTTGGTTGGGTGTAGGAGAGAAAGGAAATGGTTGATAAGGTCCCTAACTTCCTCCCCCAGAAATATAGCAACACCTGCAACTTAAGTAGGCAAGGTAGAGAGGCTTTGCCAAACTGATTGATTTAATTGCTGCTTCTTGTGGCTGAGAAGGCAGCTGCTTTATTAGTCTGCAGCTTCCCTGCAACAGGAGCAAGTCCCAGAGTGAGCAGACCTTAAAACTTCTAGTTTTTGTAACTTCTCTCCTTTACCCCCATTAGATAAACTGAAATGTACCAAAGAGGAGCACCTCTGTACACAAAGGATGCTGGACCAGACTCTGCTTGACCTGAATGAGATGTAGAGCACCCCAGTCCCACCCTGCTGCTGCTTCTCCCTCTGACCCTGACTCCACCTGAGGCCAGCCTGCCTGAAGCTGACCTTTAAACTGAGGGCTGATCTTTAACTGGAAGGCTGCTTTCTCCTTTCACCACCCTCTTCATCCCCTGCCCACCCCACCGCCATGTCTTTTTCACCAAATTGACTCTGTCTCTTCCCAGAAATTCCAGCTGGGCTAGAGGCTGAGCATCTTTGGGAACAACATTTAAGGGAATGTCAGCACAATGCAAATTGTCTTTAAAAGCATGTTGTGATGTACACATTTTGTAACTACCTTTTTTGTTGTTGTGGCAACCATTTGTAAAACATTCCAAATACTTCCCCAGCTCTTGAAGCAGCAGTCTAATCCCTTTCTCACTTTTGGAAGATGACTTTTAAGCTTAATGCATATTGCCCTCTTCTTAGAAGAGGGGAAAAAGGTCTGGGCCTGCCTTACTGAGAACCAAACAGAGCCCAGGGAGAAACTCCTCTACAGACAACCTCACTGCTCTGTACAAAGTACCAGCCAAACCAGAAAGGTGATCCCAGGAGGAGTTAGCCAAAAAAAAGAAAACAACAAAAACATGCTGTTGTTGAGGTTTTCAGCTTTAAGATATCTTTGGACA